TGGTCGTAGAGGTATGGGCTTTTAATGTGGAGAATGGTGGTTGTGATAATAAACATATAAATTTGGATTTGAAGCAACACGAAAACATTGCCATAAATCTTTATATTAAACGGTGTTCACATGAGGAAAGCTAGCTCCCCCAAATTTATTGGAAGCGATTAGTTGAAAAGCTGTAACATCGCCTCATGTAAACATCGTATTAGTTTCCTTCATATTAAGCTAGTGATAAAATATAGACAAAATTTCTTTAATTTTCAAGGTCGTGCAGCATCGCCAGACATTTCTTGTCCCAACAACACAAATAATGCAGGTGTACCTCGGTCCAGATTACGACGAAGTCGATCTGCATGTGACATCCGTGACATGCGACAAATGAAACGGCCGGAATCAACGCTTGGCCCTATTCCCGCAAAGACAACACGCCTTGCATATACAGGCGCCACAAATAACACCGCTTCGTCAACGCAAATATTCCCCGCGTTTTCTTCAAATAGTGCAGTTTCCAGACCACCACGTATTGGAAACGGTCCAGCTTCATCTAATGTGACTACTAGGAAGCCGATATCAACGCGACCTCAAATGGGAGCTGGAGTTGGAAGCAGCAGCTCAGGACGTACAGCAGTTACAAACACTACAGCGACAACAAAATCTTCTGCTGTCAAAAAAGCGGCTGCGTCTTCCAATGGTTCGTCGATTTCAACCACAGGTGCAGGAAAACCTATTAACAAACGCATACCGCCATACGATTTTAAGGCGCGGTATAATGATTTGTTAGAAAAACATAAAATACTGAAAGCTAAATATGAAGTAAAGTGTGAACAAATGGGATCATTAGAAGGTGTACCTGAACAACTTGAGGAATCACAAGACCTATTATTTAAGACTAAAGAAGAGCTGAAAAACCTTTATACCGAACGTGACTGCTTGTGTCAGCAAATTAAATCTTTGAACTTGAAGATTGACTCGATTTCAGGTTCACTTGTAAATACAAAAGAAGAATTGGACTTCATAACTAAGGAGCACAAGGTTTGTACATACAGACAATAAATTAGACATTAGTTTTTCTGATTTTTCATTTTCTAGATCCTAAAAGAAGCACACGATACTATAACTAATGAAGTTATGGATCTACGCGAGCGAACGACACGTTTAACAGCGGAAAATAATATATTAAACGAAGATTTGACTGCTTGCAAAGAGCAATTGTTTAAAGCCAATTTGGAACGCAAAGAACTACATAACACTATTATGGATTTACGAGGTAACATACGAGTGTTTTGTCGTGTTCGTCCGCCATTGGACTTTGAACAAGAAAAAATGCTTTGTGGTTGGAATTACATCGATGAATCTACTGTTGAGATACAAAATTATGAAAACAAGAATAAAAGCGTGGCGCATGCTTTCTCATTCGATCACGTCTTCCATCCAAACTCGAAACAGGAGGATATCTTTGAGATGGTATCACCTCTAATACAGTCTGCATTGGATGGTTACAATATTTGTATATTTGCCTATGGACAAACTGGCAGTGGTAAGACATACACAATGGATGGTGTACCAACCAATGTGGGTGTAATTCCACGTACCGTTGATTTACTCTTTGATTCTATCAAAAATTATAAACGTCTTGGTTGGGTATATGAAATACGGGTAACATTTCTGGAAATCTACAACGAAGTGCTATACGACCTGTTAAGCAATGAGCAAAAAGATATGGAAATTCGCATGGCCAAGCACAACAAGAACGACATCTATGTTTCAAATATAACTCAGGAGACTGTTACGTCGGCATCTCGTCTGCGAGATCTTATGGATGTGGCGAAAATGAACCGAGCTACAGCGGCTACTGCCGGCAACGAGCGGTCATCGCGTTCCCATGCTGTCACTAAAATAGAACTTATTGGCTATCATGCTGAGAAGAACGAGACGTCTGTGGGAACGATAAATCTCGTTGATTTAGCAGGCTCTGAGTCTCCTAAGACCAGCATACGCATGAACGAAACTAAAAACATAAATCGTTCGCTTTCCGAGCTTACGAATGTCATATTAGCATTACTACAAAAACAAGATCATATACCTTATCGCAATTCCAAGTTAACTCATTTATTAATGCCATCATTGGGAGGCAATTCAAAAACGCTAATGTTTATTAACGTGGCACCTTTCTTAGACTGTTTTGTAGAGTCGGTAAAATCATTACGTTTTGCAGCTTCTGTAAATTCGTGTAAAATGGCTAAAGCGAAACGCAATCGTTTTTTAAATACATCTAGCAATAATTCACTCTAGGGTTAGAGACACATATTTATTTAATTTTATCTATTTTTGTAAAATTTTATTTTGCTTCTTACGTTAATTCATATTCTCAGCTCTTTCAATAATTTGTATTACCTTTTGTACTTTTAGTTATTTTTTAATAAAGAAGTATGCGTCCCGAAGTTACATCTAAAAAAATATGTAAATATGCAACATACTGTTACTCACAAAATTTGAGCGTGCGCCTTTTTTTGTTAATCGCAATGTTTTACACGCAAATTTTTGTTTGTTAATTCTGTATTAAAATATGGCTTATATTTTATCAAACACCATTTAACTCCAAGAATGAAACTGACGAAAATTAAGAAAAATCGCAAAGTTGCAGCAAAATTGCCAACTTTTTAACTTTTATACGAATTTCTAACTAAAATTTAGTGTGCAACCTTTACATTTTTTTATATAAAAATGTGCGAATTTTAAATGCCTAAATATTCGCGTTGATTTTTGAGAATATTTTTGCTGACTGTCACTGGGCATTTTTGCTCATATAATTTTTATATGAAAAAAATGTGTAGGTCAGTCAGCAAAAAAATACTCAAAAATCAACGCGAATTTTTAGACATTTGAAATTTGAACATAATATACTAATGGGCTATAAACCTGAATTATATATTCGTATTAAAAAGTTTGCGATTTGCTGAAGCTTTACAGATTTTTCTTAATTTTCGTAGTTTAATTTTTTTAATTTAAAAGGGGTTTGCTAAAATACACATAAGCCATATTTTATTACAAAACTAACAAAAAAATTTTAGCATGAACACATTGCGAATATTAATAATAAAAAAAAACAAAGCCGGACGCTCGATTTTGTAACAGTATCAGGCCGATTCTGAACAGGAACTCCCTGGGAATTTTTTCTCTTTTCCTTTTTCTCCTATCATGAATAAACATTTTCTGTGGATTTTTTATATTAAATGGCGGAGTTGAGCTGTCAAAAAAGTATCAAACAGCTCTTGCGAAGTTTGAATTTTCTCCTTCCAAATTATCGGGGAAAATGCTACTTCCTGGGAGTTAATTATTGGAGGATTTCTTTCTCGGGAGAAACAAATTCCCGGAGAATAAGCTCCTTTGGAGTATTCAGAATTGGGCTGTATGTGTGTAAGACCCCTATTATGATTCACAAATTTGAAGATAGTTGAGTTGTAAGTTGTAAATTGGTATTGTGGGACACAACTCAACTCAACTTTGAAAACATAGTTGTCTGTCAGTTGTCTTGCACCAGCATTCTCGGGCTCATGATAAAAATATAGTAAGGTAGAACCGCTGAGAGTTACTTTTAAAATTCTTGACGTTTCCAAACATTTTAATTTTTAAATTTACTCACAAACTCACACACACATTTTCATTTTCGATCTCAAGCAACAACAATTTCGAACAATTTCAATTTTATATGATTTTAAAATGCTGGCAAACTTCAAAAAAAAAAATCATGGCCGACAAAATGAGAGAACGGTTCTACCTTGCTATGTTTTTATCATGCTCGGGCTCATCGGCTACAGTCGACTGAAAACAGTTGTGAACGGCAATAGCAATAAATGAGTTGTCACAAGTTGAGTTGTTTCAGACACAACTCAACTAAATTGAGTTGTGAACCATGCACTGCTTCCCAGCCAGCAAGAAAACGTACATTTTACGAACATTATGTTTTACGAGGGATTCTCGTATCGCCTAAAAGTTAGAGAAAAGCTCGTAAACGATAAAACAAAAAAATATAATAGAAAGAGGCTTGTAGTAATTTGTCAGCACAAGAAAAAAATTTTAGTTTTGTTGACAATTTTTCTTCAATCACAATATTTTATAAGTAAGTAGTTTGTTAAATATTCAATTTAAGTAAATTATTAAGTATGTAATTTACTGGCAGACTGGTGCAAATGCAAAGGACGATCTACCACTTTCTTTTATAATTAAACTTCTTGTAAGTAGCTACTACATATGTAATTCAAAAATACAAATTAATTTAACGAGTTTTGCAATTCTTTCACAGGCTGCGCGGAGCAACACTAAAGGATTTAAATATTTTAAATGTAGATAAATATTTAAGAACGTGCTGGTGGAAAATTATTATAGATGAGGTAGCAGGACTTTTCTCGTGGAAGGGAACTGGTACCAAAAGCAGAGCTATTGGTTTGGCAACGACTGCGGCAATAAGAAGTACGGATATTAATATTTTTTACCACTTTTTACTTAATTAAATTTTCCGATTTCCAATGGAGTTTAATCTTTCACTTTATTTTCTTAGGTGCTTTTCGTCAAAAATTTAACTCCGACGAAGAAGTTTTTATTTCCGTTGCAAAGAAGCACTTCCAATATGCACACGACCGGCAAAAAAAAATTGCAGCCTATCGGCAAAAAAAAATTGCAGCCTATCGGCAAAAAAGATAAAAAATAAATTCTGCTACTTTATAATATATATTAAACCCCTCTTATTTAATTGTTAATTTGTTAATAGATAGTTTTTTAATACTTATTTATCTGAAAATATCTTCACATATACCGTGCCGGGAAAAAATATTGGCACAGAGAATTTTTCGCCATGAATGCAAAGTTTTTTATTCTGATTTCTTCTCTAATTGTTTTTTATAAAAATATAGTTAGTATGAAGTTCTACTTTCAAATCAGATTTTTTAGAAAAATTCAAAGTAGGCAGTTTTATAGCCCATTTAATTTTAGTATAATAAAGTGCGCGCTGGAATAGATAGAAAACCTCTTTGTTTTTTGGAAATTTTTTATACGCAGTTTCTTCCATACAAAAAAAAAATGTTGCACATAATTTGCATGGAAGAAACTGCGTAAAAAAATTGCCAAAAATCAACGCGGTTTTCTGGCAACTTCAAGCTTGCACTATGTTATACTAAAATATAATGGGATATAAAACTGCATACTTAGAATTTTTCTCAAAAATCTGATTTGAAAGTAGGTCTTCATACTAACTATATTAAAAAAACAAAATGTGCGAAAAGAATTCAAGTAAAAAACTTTGCATACATTGCGAAAAATTCTCTGTGCCAATACTTTGATCCGGCACTATAAATATTTATTAACTATAATTCCATTCAATAAAAGAACTACAATAATTTGAATTAATTAATTGCCTCTATTTTTAGCATTCAAAAACAGTAGATAAAGCAGTGTAAAAAGACGCTTTTTTAACGTAAATTAATCGTTTACGAGACTCGTTTAAATTTAAAAAACGGACGTAAAAATATTCGCATACGAATGCTTTTTCGATCCGTTTACGACTGTTCGTAGGCGATGCACAATTTAAAGCGAAAAAGTGCTCGAAAAAGATTCGTAAACGGCTATCATAAACGATTTTTAATCCAGTTTTTCTTCGAGAAAATATCCAATTACGAGCTTGTTTACGATGATTTTGCTGGCTGGGTTATACATAATTCCTCATTGTAAATGTAAAACATCAATAATTTATCTAGAGCAACAATTTTATTATGCTTAACAGTTAGATTATAATATGCATGACCATTCAAAGCAACAAATTGTTTTACAACCACAATAAAATTGCGTGGATTTTAGCAATCAATTGTTGTAAGTTTTATGAGCGCAAAGCCTCTAAAACGTCTTTTGGCACTTTACCTGCAATATCGGAATGTGAAATCTCTGGAATGGTAGCTAATACACCCATTCGATTTTTGAATTCTACATTTGCTGCATAAGAGTAATGAATGCCCGCTAGGTCTGTGAGAGTACCACCCCAAGCTTCGAGCACAGCCTCCGGGGCACAAGTGTCCCAACGCTTACAACCAGGACTAGCA